CTCTCTTGTGTGTGGCCCCTGACTGATTTTTCTGTGGGTCAGCAGCCCCAGACCCAAAATAGGTTCTCCTCACACCTGGCCTAAACCATTACTCCTTCCACAGCCCCAGACCTCAATAACACAGCTCCCTACTCCTTCTTAGTCCTATAACACCTTTCCCCCTTCAACCTCTAATGCCACACACTCAAATTGTCCCTTGCCCAAACCTAACACTGCACACCTCCATATCAGCCTCAGTCCTCAAACCTAACATCTCACCCAAATCCCTGTACCCCCAAATCTAATACCACAAACCCCAAACTCCTGCTCTCTAAAACCATAACACTCACATTGCACCAACCCCCACACTGAAAACAGCACCCAAATCCTCTTCATTCATTAGCTCCCTGCACATCTCAACGCTATCAAAGCTCCCCAAATCTCACTTCTTCCAAAATCTGACACCCTACAAACTCCCCCAAATCCCAATAGCCCTTCTCCCTGAATACTACATGCTCCCCAACTCTCAAACCCCATAACTTTTCAGTTGTCTCAGCTGCATCTCCTCCCCCATGGCTGGATGTCTGCCCTGCAGCTCCCACATTCCTTTTTCTCTTAAACTCACAACAGTCTTATAACCCCACATCCCTCAAGTTCCACTCACTCCTAATCTCCAGCCCTCAAAATTCCATATCCCACAGCTGGTCATACCTCCTGTCCCCACAAAACACTCATTCCTAAGCATGCAAGGGGGGAGGAGGGGTGGCTCAGTGGTTTGAGCACTGGCCTGCCAAACCTAGGGTTGTGAGCTCAATCCTTGAGGGAGCCATTTAGGGATCTGGGGCAAATCTGTTGAGGGTGGTACTTGGTCCTGCCGTGAGGACAGGAGACCAGACTCTATGACCTCAGGTCCCTTTCAGCTCTATGAGATCAGTATATTGCTTTATAATGCTATCAGTCCCACCAGTTTACAGCTCATCACAATACCCCATAACCATGCAGCCCCTTCCAAATCCAGACCACCAACCTCCAGCCAGCCCTGACCTTCTCCCTTTCAGGTCTGGGCTGAAACTGAGCCACCTCTGGTCCTGCAGCTTCTTATATAGTCCCTCCTGATCCTTGATAGAGTGGTGAGAGGGAACCAACCAATCTGGAGGACTTCTCTATGCTCCTCTTGGCCATAGGGCCTTGCCCCCTTACAAAACCATAAAAGAGGCTCAACTTAAATGTATACCCCCAATAAAAAAAAATAGTAAAAGAACCAGAAACCCATTCCCTCAACTCAAACCCAATTATAACTCCCACAGCACAGCCCCAGCTACCACCATCCCCACCACTAGAATGTGTGTTCTCCTGTAGTTAAGCTGGAATAGCCACCTGGGTGATGGTCACCTTTTTGCCAGTAGTAGTTCATCTTCCTCTTATAGACTCAGCATAACTGTAGCTCCCCCAAATCATCATAGACCTAAACAAACAAGACATTATTTTATCATTTTATTTTCTAAATGTTTGCAAAGAATTTAGTGCTGGTGGAAGTTGGTGAGCTGACAACCCTGGAAACTGAAGGCCTCTTTTAGCCGCAGGACAGGTGCATCTCAAAGAACAGCAGCATGTTTCCCTTACCCACACCATGTGTCAGGTTTCCTATGGAGGGACCAACCACAGGCAAACAGGAAAATTCAGTCTGCCTGGCTCAATCAGTCCTTCAGTTTGCTTGGTGAGAGGTGGGATACTTGTCCCACTTAGAGACGGCCTGAGATCACCTCTTTCATGTGTCACAAAACATCATTAGACTGTCATCACTTTTGATCTCTACTGACCTGCTCCGAAACTTCAAAGTGTCCAGGCCTCAATGGAAAGCTATAAAAGAAATTGCAGATAATCCTGCTAAACATGCCCTGCTACCTAGATAACCTACTGGTAAAGAGCATGGCTATAGGGAATAATGCTGCATCAGAAAGACACAGAAATGGATTTGAAGTGCATCAGGATACAGCCTTCTCTACAGTCGTATCTGGTACACAAGGCAGCAAGAGTAACATAGGCTGAACCGTCAATTTCCTGCTGGACAGTCTGAGTCACATCCTTACTGTTATTGTGGTTGCTATTTGTCAGTTTCTCTTTGATGCTTTCACCATCTGTTGTGCAAGTAGGTAGGTACAGGGCACAGCTCACTGTGTGGTTAATGAACTGATGGATTAAATTCTTTGGCCCCAAAGTTTCACCTAGTTCCTTGTCCAACCCTACTGGAATCAGCAGAATTGGATAGTATGGAAGTAAGCACAGAATTTGGCCCCTACCAATTTAAAATTTCCACAATTATGTATGACTAGAATTCAAGGTCCACCGAGTTCTAGAAGCTCTGGGAAATGAGTGATGAAGACATGGACTACGTTTGGAGGGGAGAAACATGTTGAGTGAGGCACGTCCAAGAGATCACCCACACTCAGGAAATGGGTTCCCTTGGCCTGAATCTGGGTGGTGCAATAGGCAATAAATGGGATCAGCAAAGCCTGAAGCAACAGCTCGAGTCCAGAGGGGGTTAACTTGTGGAAACAATTACTGAAATGGGTGTGTGTGTGTGTGTGTGTGTGCGTGCGTGCACGTGTGCGCGCAGGAGGCAGTCTCCTGGGTGTGGGCTAATAGTGCAGGGCTCATATTCAGGCTCAGGTTTCTGAGTGACTGTAGCTCTGTCTCCACTAGAGAGTGTTGCTACGCTTTGTGTGCTGCAGAGTCTCTTGCAATAGCACCTAAGGACACCAGTTCAAATGGGTTTTTACCAGTTGTTTTCGACAGCCAGAGATACTGAAATTGCAACAGGTCTGTAGTGAGTCAGCCTGACCTCCCGCTGACGCGGACCATTACACGGTCTATTTTAACTCATTGATTTATTTGGAGTTTTTAGTTTAATGTTTATTTACCAATGCAACATCTGATGTAAACATTCCGCTGACATTTTTAAAACAGAAGGCAAAGTTTAAACACAACAGTCCAGTATTGGAGCTTTCTGTCTGGGAAACAAATTAAGAAAATACCAGACATATAAATGTCCAGAATTTTCTAATTAAGTTTTTATTATCATCATGAGTATCAGTACGTAGTTGCGTACTGCCTGTCTGGCTGACACTCACACCAGCCAGGCAGTATGCAGCTACGCAGTAGAGAGGAGGGGGGCAGGGTCTGAGCGAGATGGAAGTTTGCCCCATGCCCCCCGCCGAGACCCTGCACGGGACCAGCAGCACCCCGGGATTTGCACATGCCCAGGCCAGTCCCGCTCCCCGCCAGCTGGTTCCCTCACTCCCTTTCCCCCCAACCCCCTCCTGGCCAGCCCTGCTTCCCACCAGCCGGTTCTCCCTGGCCCGCCCTGCCCGATCTCTCCTGGCCAGCCCCGCTCGCCCCGACCTCCTCCTGTACAGCCCCGTTCCCCTCCCGGCTGGTCCCCCTGTCCCTTCCCCATCTGAGATCAAGTGTGTCCAGTGGGTTTTATTAAGCCATCTGGTAACCCTAACCAGCATTGCAAGGTATTTACTTCCAGATAGGAAACATTTGTATGCGCCTTCCTCCCCCTCCTCCCCTCCGCCCCACTGTCCCTGCTCCTCTCCGGCCGGTCCCCCCCATCCATCTGAGATCAAGCATGTCTGGTATTTTTTTTAAACCATTTGGTAACCCTAACAACAGACACAATTGCCTTCTACAGGCTCAAAAATATGGAGCATGTCCCTCAAGCAGATCGTTGCAGAATTCAGCTGATTCCAGTGGCAGCATGCAGATCCCATGGATGTTTTGGAATCTCACTATAGCCTCTTCCAGTTGGCTGGAGGGTTTCAGGGTATGTTTTATTTTAAAGAAGGGGTGGGGAACCTTTGGCTTGTGGGAAGGTTCTGGCCCCCAGTTTACTTGGATCCAGCCTGCAATAAGGCTTGGGGCTTCCTCCGCAACAGGGAAGAAGAAGCTGGCACTTGCGTTCCAGCCCAGTGGCATCCTCCGAGTCTCAGCACACACCCCTCCCCTAGGGCTGGAGCAGGAGCACCACATCTGGTGGAAGCGCTGAGCTTGTTGGGAACCAGATCCAGGAGCTTTGTTTTCTTTTGTTGCTTCTCATTTGTGCGGGGCTCCCAACTGACTGTTCTGTGGGTCAGTGGTTCCCAACTGAAAAAAGGTTTAAAGTCTCATTATCCATCATGTTTGCTACATTAGCCTGTTGCTGCAGAGGCTAGTAAGTACGTTCCAGAATGCAGGCATACCTGCTTCTATGTTCCTTTAAGTCTGTCCCTTGTAGGGCTGAGAATGCCAGTATCTCAGAGGAAACTTTTATGGCCTGCTGCAAGCAGGATTTGAACCAAGGCATCCAACTACAAACAGCTACTGGTTGGGTGTGTATGTGGAGGCTGGGGAGACGGGGAACGGATAACACCCTAAATCACTAACTGGCTAGATATGTATAGTATACTGAAATACCGTAGAACCAGATGGCTCGGGGGCACCAAGGGTATGTCTACATGGGAAGTAGAAACTCACAGCAGCAAAATCCAGGGTCAGCAGAACTGGGGTCCCGCTGCAGTGCTAAAATAGCTGTGTAGCCATTGAGCCTCAGGACAGAGCTAGGGCTTTGAAGCTATTTTGAGCACGGCAGCACGAGCCCTGGGTCTGAGACTCACTGCCATGGCTTTCTGCTTGCTGTGTAGCTGTAGCCCCAGAGCCTTCATCGAGCTTGGACAGCTGGAGACTGTCCCATTGATAATTAGCTAATTCTGTCTTAAGCAAACTCTTTTGTGACTCCACCTGTTCTGTGTGATGCAGAAAGGGCTTATCCGGGTGCTCGTGCAGGAAATGAAGCACACGGGGAAGGCTTCTCCTTGCAAGCTAGAGGATGCTTTGAGTTTTTCCGGCCCAGTTTTTATTCTGCAGATAGACTCATCAGTTATAACCTACCCGCTAACCTTAAACAGGCATGCAACTAATTTCACTGGACAATTAATTATAGCAAAGTGATTCACAGAAGACCTAAGAATAAAAAGAGAGCCACTCCCACAAAGAGTTTACTGATTAGATTATGGCCATCAGACAACCAGCAATGGCGACAAACTGTAGGAGGAGGATGAAATGAGGATGGGATTTACAACAGTAAGAACACTGAGTCGTGCACACAGTGGGAGTTCTGTGTGCCTTTGGAAATAATGAAGAGTAGCATCAATTCACTTATGCCAAGTGTTCTGAGCGATGCTGTCCCCATTAGCAGCTCCATCACAAATACGTGTTCTCAGACTCTACGTCCAAGGCAGGAAGTTGCAATGCAGGATTAGTCCAAGCAGCCAGTAGGACAGGAAGTATCCCAGAATGCACTTGGTGACAGGGGAACTTATTCTCCAGTTCAGCAGTAATCTCACAATGGGGTTCCCAGAAATCCCTTTTCTGAATGATCCAGGACAGAAGCTGCCTACATTGAACTTCTCAGAGAGGGATGCTTCAGTCTGGGTAGCAGCTCCTTCTTTCCACAGCCAAGGTTCATAGTCCTGGAGCAGATGAGCAGAGAACCAGTACAAGACTGGGGTAGATGACCCTAGGAACCTGGTTACAACCTGAAAACAACAAGGGAGGGAGCACATTAATTATGTGTCTGTGACTCTAAGCGACCCTGATTTTGAAGAATGACAGGTGCAATCTACCTGCCTCAGACAAGCTATAACAAACTGCAGTGAAAGATAGCCCCTCTTTATGGTGCTGAAATGTATTACAAAATAATGTGACATAAAATGCCCCTCGGCTCCAGGTTATGTTTATAAAGATGTCTGAAAGCTGCAATCTAACACAGGTTACAGACAAACACAGCAATAGTTTACTCACTACAGCCACGCAGAAACCTATTCTATAATCCCTACAGAGCTACAGTGAAACCTTGAAATGGTGTCTCCTCCCCCAAGGAAAATGAGAAATCCAAGCCCTAAGCGAGATGATGGCTATTTTACATTTATGAAGAGCCTCCCATCCAGGAGGTTTCCCAAAGCACTTTTCAAATACTAAGCATGGAGCATCATTAAAATGCAGCCATCTTTGCGGATGACATCAGCAATCAGTTGGTACACCGCACTCTGCTGAACAGGGTAGGGAGGACAAGAAACAATGGCCTAAAACATCTGCACCATAAACGGCCAACAACTTCTAGAAAGTGACAAGGAACCCGATGTACTGAACTAGCTGCCATGCAACGTGGCTCCCGGGAAGGATAAAGTTCACCCTGTGGTTCCATGGCATCCCCATGTCTTGTAACCAACGATGGGGACAAGAACCTGTAACCACTGAACAAATGTATACACAGAACAGTAGCAAGTCCCCAGGACCAGATGGCATTCACTCAAAGAGTTTTGAAAGAACTCAAATGTGAAATTGCGGAACTATTAACTGTGGTTTGTAACCGATCCTTTAAATCAGCTTCTGTACCTAATGACTGGAAGACAGCCAATGTGACACCAAAATGTAAGAAGGGCTCTAGAGGTGATCTTGGCAATTACAGACTGGTAAGTCTAATGTCAGTACTGGGCAAGTTAGCTGAAGCTAAAGTAAAATTGTCAGATACATAGATGAATACAATTTGTTGGGGAAAACTAAGTGATTGGGCAACAAAATGGCAAATGAAATTTAATGCTGGTGAATGTAAAGTAATGCACATTGTAAAAAATAATCCCAACTATACATACAATATGATGGGGACTAATTTAGCTACAGCTACTCAAGAGAGATCTTGGAGTCACTGTGGATAGTTCTCTGAAAACATCCACTCAATGTGCAGTGGCAGTCAAAAAAAGCAAATAGAATGTTGGGAATCATTATCAAAGGGATAGAGAATATCTTGTTGCCTCTATATAAAACCATGGTACGCCCACATCTTGAATACTGTGTATAGATGTGGTCACCTAATCTCAGAAAGGATAAACTGGCATCGGAAAAGGTTCAGAAAAAGACAACAAAAATTATTAGGGGTTTGGAACAGGTCCCATATGCTGAGAGATTAAAAAGATGTGATCTTTTCAGCTTGGAAAAGCAGAGACTAAGGGGGGATATCTTAGACATCTATAAAATCACGACTGGTGTAGAAAAAGTGAGTAAGTAAAAGTTATTTACTTGCTCCCATAACGTAAGAACTAGGAGCTTCGGGGTAGCCGAGTTAGTCTATTACAGAAAAAAACCAACAAATGGTCTGGTAGCACTTTATAGACTAACAAAACATAGATGGTATCATGAGCCTTCATGGGCACAGCCCACTTCTTCAGGTTATCTAAAGAAGTGGGCTGTGCCCACAAAAGCTCATGATACCATCTACATGTTTTGTTAGTCTATAAAGTGCTACCAGACCATTTGTTGGTTTTTCATAAGAACTAGGGATCACCAAATGAAATTAATAGGTAGCAAGTTTAAAACAAACAAAAGGAAGTTTTTCTTCACACAGAGCATGGTCAGCCTGTGGAACTCCTTGCCAGAGGATGTTGTGATTCATGGAGGTTAGGTCCATCAATGGCTATTAGTCAGGATGGGTAGGAATGGTGTCCCTAGCCTCTGTCAGAGGTTGGGAATGGGTGACGGGAGAAGGATTGCTTGAAGATTCCCTGTTCTGTTCCCTCCCTCTGGGGCATTGGCCACTGTCGGCAGACAGGACACTGGACTAGTTGGATCTCTGGTGTGACCCAGCCTGGCTGTTCTTATGTAACCCTCCTGAACTCTGAGTAATTGGTGGAGCAGCCTGTCAGCACAAGAGGAATCTGGAGTCATTCTCCACTAACCCCTGCTTGCTGAACAGGTGCCCTTACACCCACAGAGACTGGAGAGGTGATTTAATAGGGTTCCAAATGAGAGGAGGCAGATTCAGAAGGAGGAGTCCTAATGCTACACTGGGAGGCAGAGGAAGAGAGACAGGACCTCCTCCACTTGAGTTTTTATTTAATGCTTCATGACCCACATTTGGAAGCACCAACTTTCTACTACCACTAGCCATATATTAAATGGTCTTGAAACATTTCTAGAGACTGGTATAGGGTTACAGAACCTTTCGCTTCCAGGTCACTAGGGGTGTGTCTAGACTACTGAGTTTTGTCGACAAAAGTGGACTTTTGTCGACAAAACTATACCTGCGTCCACACTACCACTGAGTTCTGTCGACATAACGTCGACAGAACTCAGCAGTTTTGTCGACACTGGTAAACCTCATTTTACGAGGCATAACGCCTTCTGTCGACAGAGTTTCTGTCGACAGAAGGTGTTATTGCATGTAAACTGTCCTTTGCGTCTACACTACCATGTCGACAAAGCAGCTTGCTTTGTCGACAGAACTGAATGTAGTGTAGACGCTCTTTGTCGACAGAAGTTTTGTCGACAGTATCTGTCGACAAAACTTCTGTCGACAAAAGCCTGTAGTCTAGACGTACCCTAGGATAAGTACAGCCCAAGGTGGGGGAGACCCAAAATTTTTTGTCCCCCCCCCCCGACAGCTGACTCTCATTACTTTGCTGTTCTAGTGATAAGCAAGTTAGAAATACTATCAGCTAGATAGGTAATTGGGCAAAGTGAAAAAGTATTTCTAACTTGCTTATCAGCTAGATAGGTAATTGGGCAAAGTGAAAAAAGCCTGTAGCTCCTAGTGAACAAGTGTCCCCATCACACTTAGCACCTAATAGGGCTCCTTTTAGACAGCCCCAATGAAAGAAAAGGAGCTAAGTGTTCAGGGAAACTAAAGAGACCTCTCTGAGCTGGAATTGGTTCCTACCAACATGGAAATGTGCGGAGAGAAAAGCTTGCACTGTCCCTGACCTTGTTCTGTGGCTAGAAAACTTCAGGCGCCATGGCTGCCATCTTGCCCCAGCATTACATTTCTTTAACGTCAACGCTGACAGAAGCTGCTGCAAAGGTCTCACCTGCACGTGCATGCAGAGGATTCCGAAGGCCAGAAGAGCCGTGGCATGGACCACGTACACGAAGACACTGGAGCAGCAAAATCCAACCTCTGGCTTATCAGACTCCTCTCCTTTCCCTTCTCCCTTTGCTCTTCTCACTAGGCCAAGCCTTAAGCAGTAGTGGGGATTTGCAGTGAGGTAAAACCAGGCGGCCCAAGAGCCCAGCACGGTCACTGGTGCAGCTAGCAGGAAGTTGGGTACCTGTTTGGGCTCAAAGTACCTTAGAAAGCCCACATTCCAGTAAACATCTTGAATATAAGAATAGGCCACAGGGAGCCCCTGGGAGCACCACGAAGGTTTCACCCCATTTGCGGCCGCTAGACGATACCCTTTATCCACAGCCAGCTGCAATAGCAGCCTGGGAACAGCATGTTCAGAGCTGGCATCAGGGTTGCAGAATGTCCAGTAGGCACAGAACTGAAACAAAGCAAAAGGGAGGAAGACCCCAGCAGACACCAAAGCCACTGAAGCTGCAAAGCAGAGGAGTCGTCTCCAGGTAGGAGGCTGCTTTATTACAGTCCCTGCCTGGAGTTGGAGGGCCAGGTCTTTACTCTGGGAATAGAAGAGGAAGCCGGCATTGATCACCCCGTTGGAGCGTACACCAGCAGCAAGGCAGAAGAGCAGGCCGCTGGTCCAGCTCTGCCCTTTCTCCAGCTGCAGCATGGCACTGAACACCAGGAAAGCAAACATGCTTTCCGAGTATGCGGCGGCCATGAACACATTGGCAGGGGTGAGGCAGAAGAGGACAGCAGAGAAGAAGGCCGTTCTGCGACATTGCAGCACCACGCACCCCAGCTCGTAAAGGACAGCAGCTGTCAGGACAGAGAGCAGAGCGTTCAAAAGCACCGCCGACAGGAGAAGGCGGCTCCATAAACTCAGCAGCCCTCCCAGGGGCCACAGCGCGAGCTCCGCCACTGCTCGCACGCTGAGGGGGTACCCTGGGAAGAAGGCGAAGTTGTGCTCATACAGGTAGCCATGCTCAGCTATGAACAGGAAGTGCTCTGCATCCCAGTGCGACAAGCCTCCCAACAGCCATTCCAACAACCGGTCCCCGAGGCTGGGCTCTGACAGGCGGGGTGGAGAGAAGGCATCTGCTGCATGATCTGGGATCAAGACATTAAACACGGCCTGGAAGAGAGAAGGAGAGAACTGAAGCCAAGCCCCCTGTCCTTCCAGCATGGAAACAGTCACCCGGAGTCCCAAGTAGGAGGCCTCGAGGGATTCAGTGTGTTGACTCCAAGAAGGGAGCATAACTAGAAGCTAGGGGTGTGTGTATCCTGGAAAGGTGTGTTCTTAGCTCAGTTCAATGGCTCAAATTCTATGCCGGTCTCCCCCAGGGGCTTTAGCTCGAGATACTTTCCGAGTTGCCGTGCCTTTGCTGCTCTTTTAGTCCGAGCTAGTGAATGCTGGTTAGTTATCCTGAGTTAACATACACGTTGCTTTGGCAGCTTTCACACCTGGAGCACCAGGAAAAGCTTCTAGATGGGGAGACCTATTGGACTCCAACACGGCATCCAGTGAAAACCCAAGTCACTTGGAACATTCAAATCTGGACCAGACTAGGGATGTTACATTTAGATGAATTGGCTAATTGAACAGCTGGCCCCAGGCCCCACGCAGCGCTGCCACTTTGAAGCACCCCCGCCCCGCTGCCTCTTTTTGATGAAGGCAGCAAGGTGGGGGAAAGCGACTAGTCAACTAGCATGTCGACTATCCAATGAGCATTTGCTAATCAGATAGTCGACTAATTGTTAGGCCAGACAACGCTCTGGAAAATATGCAGAGAATGTTCCAAATTCTTCATTAACTCTGTGGTGCAAGAGGCGGGAAATGGAGAACGAGCAAGTCTTTTCTTTCTGTAATGGCTATGATTCGGTAGCTAGCCTCTGCAACACAGTTTACTCATTCCTACAGCACAACTGCTCTAACTCTATGTACCCGGGAAGGTACTACTGGAGCAACTTCCATATAAACCAAGTGCTTTACAAGGCTTGTTTCACAACCCTGTTCCCATGCCAGCAAGAGTCATTTTGACCCCTCTTTACATAGGGGAAACTGAGGCATGGATGGGGGAAGAGTCTTACCTTTGTCTCACAGCAGGTTAAGGCAGTGCCATAGGCCCCTTCTCCAGCCACTATATCACATTCCCTTTATCTCTGCTGCTGTGGGAGCTGACACAAAGGTGTCCCCTGACCTTCATATTAGACAGGTGAAGGGACCCCCAATCAACAAGCCCCTTTGGGAGTTTGTGGCATTCACCATGTTTTAACAGAGGAGAGAAAACCAGGAAGCTCAAGAGGCCAGGGTCTGAATTTCGAAGCACTGCAATACCCACCCAGATGAATGTCACACAGCTGGCGGAGCAGTCTCTCAGTTTTATACACGGAATTAGAAGTGTCCCCTGTACAATGACGTCAGTGTTGGCACTGACCAGGGAAGGAGGACAGAAAATAAAGGCCTGCACTGAATAAACTAAAAAATAAATATTGGTGCTTTACAGTGAAACCTACATCACCAGGAAATTGGCTGGCTTAGAAGACTGTTTCTCAGATATGGGACCTCTCATCTCTTAGAGGACTGCTCAAATCCAACCCTGTAGAGACCTAAAGTTGTTACTATCTTTGACCTGTTTGGTGGCGCTCAATCTTTTTCACAGACTGGTTTCACTTCACAAAAGCCAGAGCAGCTGGGTTCCTTGTTGAGTCTCAACAGACACACTAAGCAGAGATTGGGCTACGAGCACCAAGATGTTCTCGTGTCTAAAGGATGTAAAATTCCATTTACAATTTGTTTAACCAGTTAACCCTCAAGCCGGGTGCCGATTAACCAGTTATTCTGATAAGCATGACAGCATGGTAATGTTTACCCGGTAACTGATTAACCATTTGACATTCCTGCAAAGACTGATGCACCTGTTTCGTGGATAAAGAAGGGACTTCGCTCTACAGAACTGTCAATCCAGCCCCCTGCAACAGCAGCGAATTCACACAAAAATGTCAATTTAAAAATAAATTAACTGTGTCAAACTTCTCTTTGACAGAAGCACGACTTCCCTGATGCTGCAGGTAGGCTTCTGCATGAGAAGTGCAATTACAATCATGAAGCTCCTGGTAGCACACTAAACATCCTGAAGCAGAGGTAAGTTGGGAGTGGGGTATTACATTTGTTTCAATGTCTTGTGTTCACTAACAAGAGACTTGCCTGGAGCACAAGTGCCAGGGCTCTGCAGCACACTGCAAACCAGATCACCTCTCGAACATAGGGGTCTCTTCTGTTCATCAGTTTCATTATGACCTTGGAAGTTGCTTCTGTAGGTTACTGCTGCTTTCCGCAGTGGAAATTCTCTCCCCGGCTTTGGAAACCTGAATTAAACACAGAGCTCAGGGACACAAAGAGGCATTGCAGGCTCCAACTATGTTTGTAAGTTACAGATCTTTATTTACTGGCCAACATTACTTTCTTCATCAGCCTTAAACAAGAATGTTTCTTTTGGAAGAGACCACATAAGAACATCAGAACAGTTTAAGATACTTGGTCAGACCAAAGGTCCATCTAGCCCAGTGGCCTGTATGCCCGCAGTGGCAGATGCACCAGAGGGAGGGAACACAGCAGGTAATCCTCACATGAGCCCTCTCCTGTCATCCATGGATCAGGGACACTGCAGAATCTCGGTGGCTGACTACATCAGGAAATTTATTTATTCACACAATGCACATTCAACCTGTGGAACTCCTTGCTAGAGGATGTTGTGAAGACCAGGAGTTTAACATGGTTCAAAAAAGAGTGAGAGAGATTCATGGAGGTCAGGTCCATAAATGGCTATTAGCTAGGATGGGTAGAAATAGTGTCCCTAGCTCCTGTTTGCCAGAAGCTGGGACTGGTCATCAGGGGACGGATCACTGATGGATCCTTGTTCTGTTCATTCCCTCTGGGACAACTGGCATTGGCCAGTATTGGCAGACAGGACACTAGGTTAAATGGATCTTTGGTCTGACCCCGTCTGGCCATTCTGGTATTCTTAAGATTGGAGCACAGGTGGTGACATGGGAAAAACTGACCTGCTGCTGTCCATCTTGCCTTTGTTCCAGAGAAGCAGAAAAAATGGCTAGAATCCCCTCAGTGTCCAACGCCTGCCACTTAAGCCCTCCACAGAACAATGAAATCACTGTCCTGACGTGACATTTACAGAACTCTGCTCTCTCACTGCTTGGCCAAGGTCTCTGCTCACTAGAATGAAGGCACCTGCAAATAATATATGCTAAGGGGACTCTTACTTCCCGTACCTTCTGTAGGGGATTTACGCCAGTTTAACATACACCTTAGTATTATGTCCTGACATTTCTAGAGCAGATATCCTCAGAACAGGACCATGGCTATAGAAGGCAGTTAAGCAAGCTTGAGATGTTCTCTAGGGAGCTTTAGAACAAGTCTTTCCTTGGCCGCCATAACCCTTAATGCCTTCTTGCTTTGAGAAATGGTAAGCGCTAGGCCGCCTTAGGTTCACATTCTGCTCTCCACTCATTCATTGCATCCAGTCAGTTTTCTATAATTCACGTGAAGAATTCAAAGCACTTTACAAACTTTCATGAGTCACACCTTGTGAGATGAAGAAATGGCCCCAGCTTCATTTCACAGGTGGGCAAAACAGAAAGGTAAGGTGAACCATCCAAGGAGACAGAACAGGCCCGTGGCAAACCCCAGAACAAGAACCCAAATATGCCGAGTCCCTGTTCTAGACTGTAACCATTAGCCTATGCTTCCTGTTTTCTCACACATAAAACTTTTGGTTTTGCTCATACAACCCTGTCCTTCCCAAACATTTACAGCAGCAGACAAATCAAGTAATTAACATGGGGAATACGCTACTGCACCATGAAGCGTTAATTTAGTATGAAAGGGGATCTCAGCCCAGCTATACATTGTACATTCACGGCTGTAAATCCTATTAAAGCAAATAAAACATGAGGGGTAAAAAATGTCTATCAGCACATTGGATATTTAACAAACCCTGAAATGAATTCCCCAAGAAGGTTCAAATCAAGCTATGAGAAAAGCCTGTACCTGTAAGCACACAGTACACCCTCTATCAGAAGGCTCGAAAGCCTAGACAGCCACCATACTGACAGAGAACACACTGCAGCTTAGGTTTGGATGCCCTTACACAAAAAGCATTACCAAGTGTGCTCATAGGGCCATAAGAACACCAAAGTGGATAGAAAAGGGACATATGGCAAAGATGGGTAAAAAAAAATCTTCATAGAAGAAAAGTCAAATCTTACGTTAAATTAAAGGTGGATTTCTGTCAATGTTCATTCAATATTTCTAACCAATTCATCGTTTTTGGACAGGAGTTCCCTTTGCATCATCCCATTAATTATGCAAGGGGGTAGGGATCCTCAATAAAAGAGATGTTAGATAAATCAGGAGGGAAATTAAAATGAATCATGATGGGTCCGAAAAGTCTGTAGTGTTGACTGTCCACCACCATGGGGCAGTACACTCTTACTACATTGGCACTTCCTTTTTTCATACATATATACACTATAGCAGTGAGTCTGGTAAGGTTATAGGATTCCTATTAGGAAATCCATTTCAGTGTACATATTGAAAACACTTATAAAACAGTGATTTAGGCATCTTCCTTCAAATTAAAGGGACACTTGAATTATAAATATATTTACAACATTCTCACCAACATTACAGAAATCCAATTCACTTTTCATTGTTTGTACTGCTTCTTGTTTGCACATGTAATGGCTTTGATTATAGCAGGCCTAGTCATTTTCATATTTGTTTCTAGTCAGCTTCAGTTTCTGGTCCTCAAACACAAGACGAAAATGTTTGGTTCTCGCCACTGCACTATTTCTTTTAACATTTTCCACTCATATTTTTTTAGAAAGGGAATACTTCTATTCACCATAGTTTTTCTAAAAGCTTATTTGTACAAAATGTATGCACTTGGTGAAAAATTAACATGCTGCTTGCTGTCCTTGTATAATTAATTTGAAAAAACTGGCCCATTGGACCACAGCCAGAGTTGTTTTAACGGGTACAAATTCACTGAAGTCAGACCTGCACCTGCTTACAGCAAGTCTTGAAAATGGTCCAATTAATTTCACACACCTGGCTATATGCCAATTGTTTTGCCCTACCTACATTTTCAAATGTGTCTGAAAATACTTATTGTGGCTAAGAGAAAATTGAACTCCAAAAATCACTTTACAAGAGTAATTGGTCTCAGACCAAGTAACACTTTATTTTTTTGGTTCATGGACTCAAATGCATTATTTTGCTGTTTCTTGCAGATAGCTAAAAGCCTGGACCTGACATTTAAATTTAAATGATAAAATGAAACAAAATTATTCCTCCTCATTTGGGAGATAAGTAGGTCTTCCAATTTGCAAAGATCCCAGCAGAGGTTAGATTCTGTGGAAGTCCTGAATAGGAACACTGTCAGGGTTGGTAGACAGTTACTTAAATAGCTTGCATGTGTATTAATGGATTAATATTAAACACCATAGAATATGAAATAAAAAGCAGCATTTATAGACATAAAAGGGCCTCAACCCCAACTCAGGTCCCTGCGAGTATTTCCATGTAATGCATTAATGTCTGTTGTTGCACGTCTCCCTATAGGGGAGCAGCCTAGGACGCCTCAGTGTCGGCTAATTCACTGCCAGGTCCCGCTCAGCTCTGGGCTTTGCATTAACTAGCCCTGCAGAGGGGTCAGGGCCGAGCGCGGCCAACTCCCAGCGGCAGAGGAAACAGCGGCCCCGCCCCCGGGCGCGCC